TAAAGTGGGAGACTGAAACAGTTACCTAGAAGATTCCTTTTTCAAAGCCTACATTGAGGGTGGTGGGTAGGTGTATTATTTGCTAATAAAGTGTGATAAACTTATAGCATAATTTAGTGGTTAACAACAATTCCACTTACCCCTTCACACTGGTACTTTGTGGATAGGCCTTTATGTTGTAAGGGCATTTGATTTTTATAGAGAGCATTGCTAAGATATACTTACTTTGAGGCCAGACTCAGCCAATTTTATCTTATGAGTTCTACGCTGTAGAAGGATATTAACTAAAATGATAAAGTAATTTATTACAGAGACGATAAAAGTATTTTCATAACCCTTGAGATCTGAGTTTATATGACATAATCAGATGTGATTCAAGTGTTTTATGACCTTAAGGTTCTTATCTGCTAATTTCACATCAAGAAAATTGGCAAAGGAACATTAACAGCACTTACAATTATGGGTATATAAATTGTTTACAGTACTATAAATACTATAAATTGCATTGAAAATAATTGGGCAGTATTTCTCTGAAATTATGAGATTTTCTTTTTTATAGTAAAATTTGATTTTTAAAACACATTAAAAATTTTGTTTACTGTATTTATGGTTGTATTCTCCAAGTAAATTGCTTTGATGATATCATTTGGTCCCCTGACCCACATATAAATGCATCAAAGAGTGACTACTAAGGATTTTAAATTTTAAAAGACACACAAGAAAGAAAAAATGGTAGTAACGTTGATTTGGGGTCTATTGGCAAGGTCTTTCACACAGAAAACTTTACATGTAAGGGGAAGTCATAATAAAGTTACAGTGCATCATAATTGAATAAATAACTGAAGCAGATGAATAAGAAAGGTGCTATTGTATAATTATATCTCTGGAAGATATAGTAACTTAGTCTTCAAATTAATATTTCAGAAGAAATATGAAGTTGAAAATTTGGCTACTCCACGAGTGGATTAATGGTGATAAGGCTACTTAGATAATCTAATTCTTGACCTAACAGGAAGATCTCATTACTTTTCAATATTCTAATTAAGACCAGG